CCGGCGCCGGAGCGGAGGCGCTCGCGCTGCGCGGGAGTTCCCCGAGCGTCGGGAAGGGCGGCGGAGGAAAGAGGTCCTTGCGAGCGGAGGAAACAACGTGACCGACGGAAGAGGCAGGGTTGGGATGAGCGCTGCCCGGCGAGGGGCTGGGGAAGGAGCCAGGCAGACTGGAGACCGGCCGCGAGTTCCGGGGCCCGGCTGGAAGACTGCTGGTTAGAGCCTAGTCCCAGCCAGGAAATGAAATAGTAGAGGAGAGAAAAGAAAAGGCAAGATTCAGAGGTGAAGGGCAAGGAGATTCCAAGATCTGGACTTCTGGGGGGCTTAGGAGAGGTGATTTGACAGGAGAAATGTGGGCTGTTTTTTTTAATGGGTTTGGGGGCTCTTGGTGGAGAAGCCACAAATGTAGGGGTGGAACAGGTTCGCGTCTTCTGGCTGGGCTGTAAAGTACTGCCTTTCCCAAGCTTTCCTGTTGATGAAGGGAGTGGAGGGTTGTTTTTAAAAAAAGAAAGAAAAGAGAAGAAAAAAACCTGTTTCCTGGACCTTAAAGACTGAGCCTGTGACCCTGGATTTTGTATTTTCTACAAGTCTCCCCCCCCTCCCCCAGGTGATTCTTGTCCGGAAAACACGGGCAGGTGCGAGGCCTCTCTGCCTAGGACTCAGATGTCCCTCCTTTCTGCCCCAGCTGTGTACCCTGGAATGTTCCAGCATTTCTGAGCCTAAGTTTCTTCATCTATAAAAAGAGAATCCACCAGCCACTCCTTGGCGGGGTTGTTGTAAGGGCCACATGGACAGTGTTTCAAGACACACTGTCCACACACTTAGTGCTTTTTTTTTTTTCCTTTCCCCCAGAAACTCATGAGCTTTAAAATACTTTCTTTGGGGCAAGGAAACTCCTTAAGTAATTACATATCCAGACAAGAAAACGGTGTGTTCATTCTTACCTAGATATTTGCTGTTGCTTGAATCCTGGCTTTGGTCTCAAATATCCACATATTTCCTATCTCTAGAAACAGATTGTTCCCCAAACTGATAGATGAACTAGGTATGGACACTTCCCTACTAAAATGCAGTGGATAATCACACATGAAAACTACTGTGAGTGCATAAGTTTCAGCAGGCGCAGAGGTAACTATCATCAGATTTTTTACACATATGCCCTAATTGGTGTGGTCACCTATATGTTTGCTCGTTTCATTTCCAGTAATCCAGAGTTATAAAAGAGAAACGAGAGTTGCAGGGTTAATTGGTTTCATTCTTCTCTGAAAGGTTAAACTTTTTTATTGTAGAATATTCTCAGGTATGTCAATTCCTTGGTTCTGCTGCAAAACCACAGACATTTTAGTGTGGATTCTCTAGTGGGCAGCAAGCATTTAAGGATTCTTGGCAGAGGTGGCTCCTGGTGAACTCTTCTACCCTGTTGCACCAGGTCACTTTCAAACTTTTTTTCTGAGAAGTAACTGCTCTTTGCTGTAACTTGTGTATTTTACCCTGCTGGTGGTTTGTAAACAGTGGTGCTGCAGAAGGGTTTGAATGGTAAGGATGGTGGAGGACCCGTTGCCACCACACCTCTGATAGGTAGCATCCACACAGTTCCTTCTCCTAGGATAGAGAGGAGGGTAGGGGACAGCAAGGGGAGAGCCTCCAAATGCAAAACCAGAAATCCAGAGGTCATTTCCCCTGCCTGACAGAACTTGATTTCTACCTGTTTTCTCCTGAGTTCCCCTAACTCACCTCCATTCCAAAGATGAAATGGAGATTGATCTGGAATGAATTTAAATCTAATAAGCCAAGATTTTATTGAGGTCAGATTTTGGAGAAATTCTTGTAGTAGGCATCTTACTTTTTAAAGCATGTATTAGCCCTGGCTGGTTTGGCTCAGTGGTTAGAGCATCGGCCAGCAGACTGAAGGGTCCTAGGTTTGATTACAGCCAAGGGCACGTACCTCAGTTGCGGGCTTGATGACCAGGGCTGGGGAGCTCGTGGGAGGCAACCAGTTGATGTGTCTCTCTCTCTCTAGCTCTCCCTCCTACTCTCTCTGAAAAGCAATTCTCTCTGAAAAAATATCCTTGGGTGAGAATTTTTTTTAAAAAGCATGCATTAACTGACCTTTTCCTCAAGAGTTTCAAAGGTACTGTAGATCCTAATGGTTTCCCAATAATTCTTCTGGGAAGAATGGTGGTAAGATAGCTGGGAAAATATTTGTTAATGTCACTTTGCTGGTAAGAAAACAGGCATAGGAAAGTAGAACAGTTTCTTCATGGTCGTACAGAGGGCTAGAAACATGAGGAGCAAACATTTTAGCCGACCCAGAGCCGATGAATTATTAAGGCTTCATCTTGGACGTTCATGACCAAAACACTTCTGTCTATGGACAGAGCCCCTTCTGATAGCATAACCTTTTGAATCTGCAAAACCATGGTGGAAGTGTTTTTGTTCAACTAACAATGGAGGTCGTCATGGCCAGTGTTTCTAGGTAATGTAGGGAGCGGGGAGGAAAATGAAGCTTGTTTGTTGGACAGTGGAGGGGAAAACAGTATTGGGTGGTGTCAGCCACTGTCTGCGCATTGGAAAGGATTCAGTGGCGGGGTAGCCTCCTTCACACACCTGTTCTTGAGTTGGCAAAAGAGAAATTATCTGACCTGAGTTCATTCAGCTCCCTGAGCTTCAGATTCCTCATTCGTAAAATAGCCCAACCTACTTCCTCACTATAAACTCCCATCTTCCCCGCACTTTTCACGTTTTCCAAATACTGGGGCATTTCGGAGCT